GCTGATTCAAGAGAGGGAGATAGAGAGTAAGAGAAAGTCGAAGCAAAATTTATGGAAATGCGTCGAGAATTATATGAGCTTATGATATCAGTAACATAGACCAAACATGTGTACATTGGCACCAGAGAGGATGAAGGAAGCGAGAGGCGCACGTGGCAGAGGCGGGAGCGGTTGAGAAGAAGAAGAAGAGTTCAGTGATAATGCCGTGGGCACACATTATCACATATTCCTCATCTCGAGCATGGCAATTGTATTGATAGCTTAAAATGGCCAAATTTAGGGCAGTCGTTAGGTCGATTCGCACCGTGCACACCAAATGACTATTCAATTCCACGGGCAACCGACCGAATGGACAGAGACATGGGAGCGGAGAGAACGTATAGCAAGCGACAGAAGGTCATTTGATTTCTTCGATTTTTTTTTTCGTTTCGGCTATGAATTACATTAGATTTAACCTCGAGCTTAAAATGTAGGTTTACGAATTCTGACCATTTCCTAGAGTAAATACACAGCTTTAATACATTCGTTTGCATCATCATTTTAGATTTTGTTTTTTCACACAGCTGCATCTCTCTCACTGCCTTTCTCGCCTTCTCTCCTGCGCTCGTTCCCTTTCTTTCTCTCCTTTTCACTTTCTCTAGCTTTCTCTCTTTCTCGATTCGACATGGATCCGCTTAATTCGCGTTTTTGCTTTCGCTTACACTCCCCTCCGAACCATAGAAAAGCTTTGTATTTAAATCGTTTCGAAATTCCAAACAAAGCCACGTCATTTCAAGTTGGCCAACGATTAACTTTCTACTTTAAAACCAACCCACAACAAGTGTCAGAAAAAGGCTCAACTCGAATCGATATGCACATTAATATGATTAAATCGAACGATATTCGTAATACGAATTTCGTACTAATAAACATTTCGACATTGCAAATGTGCACCATTTTTGCTGTTGTGATTGAAAAATCAGTTCATTGCTTCATTTCAACAAAAAAAAAAAACGCTTCGGTTCATTGTGAGAATTCAATGAAATCAATCGGTTCAGTGAAGGCCGAGCTATTCGATTTCTGAAATGCCGCATTCTGCAAATGAAACCGAATTGAACAAGCCACACACACACACATACAAAGCGGGTCAACAATTCGTCTCATCGCCGAATGGATATAATCAGATTTACACAGATTAAAGCGCAACTGTTTATTAATACCAGAGGGGCGAAACCGAACTGTCATCATCAATTACAACGCGGCTGTCAGAATAAAGTACAAATTAAATACACGCCAGACAGTCTTAAGTGCACCTTCGTAGAACGACTCGTTGAATTTGAACTATTGAAAAAGACAACGTATTTTCGTGAACGTATATTATTCATGGAGTGAATAAAAATGATAAAATCAAGTGGAAAATGAATATTTGTGTAAAATTATGTTGTTTCTTTATTTCCTATTTAAATGCAATGAATGATTTGGATGACACATCCACATTATCAAATTTAGAAAAATGTTTCCAACATGAACATATTTATCTAAGTTTTCTTTAGATTTGCTGATGTTCAAATGAATTTTGAAATCAATTAATTCAATTTTCTCATTTTTTACGTTCGCTTCCTACAAAGTGAGCTTGAAAATGTGTTTCAGGAGCCATGGGAATAAAGTGGCTCCTTAAACACACAATGGCTTTGTTCCACCGAGTGCACAAATTTGTTCTACACATTGAACATGTCAGTAGATACTTAACCTCACTTTGTCAATCAAAAACAAGAAAAATGTTAGCAAAGAATTTCTGAGCAAAAAAAAAGAAAGTTCATATTCTTTTTCGGTATTTTTTCAAACGTTTCTAAAATGTTATT